ACCCTATACTATATAGGCGTATATACTACGCCCCTGAATACGCTTATACCTATACTAATAATAATAGCTTTAGTAAACTTTATAAATATCTCACTACCTATCCTAATTATTATATCTTCTAAACCTACTACTATATTACTTATAGTAACCTTTAACTAATCTTTTCCCCTCTTTATCCCTACTTTATAATCTCTATTAACTTCCTTCTTATATTACTAATAACTACTAATAGCTATAATTATATACTAATTATAGTTAATAAGTTTTCTAAAGAGATAATCTTAGAACTTAGTAAGATAACTTATATTATATAAGATTAAAGTAAACACCTCTTTAACTAATTAATAAGTAGTAACTAGGGAATACTAAAGATAATCTTAAGTAATTATAATCTTAAGTTTTTATTATAGATATAAGATACTATATAGAAAGGTTTTAGAACTAATCTAGTTTATAGTACTACCTATTACCCTTAAACTAATAGCTAAATAGAATAATTTATCTAATAGATTAAATCTATATTATACTACTATATTAACTTAATAGTAGATCCTATAGACTAAATTAATAATATCTCCTAACTATAGTTTAAATATAATAATATAAAATTTATAACTATATAGAGATCACCTAATAAGATAGTTAAAGGTTTCACCCTTAATAATATAGCTACTATAATTACTAATTAGATCCTATAATCTATTTAAGTTCCTATAGCCTAACTTAAGATCTATAATACGCTTACTATAGCCTTAATATCTATAAAATAGTTCTATAATAAGTATTATAGTACTTAGTTCTTTAATATTAGTAATAAAGTTTACTTATAACTATACTATAGCTATATAACACCTTAAGCTATATCTATTAGTTATAAACTTAGAGAGTAATTTGCTAGCCCCTTTTAAATTATTAAGTATGTTAGTTAATCTACCTATAGATTGCAATTCCTATTAGGATAGTATATTTATAATATAATCTTAATTAACTACCTTAAGCCTATAAAGTTTAATCTATATAGATAATAGTTACTTATAATCCCTCTTATTTATATAATAGATAAAACTATCTCTATAATCCTTAATAAGCACTATATAAAGGCTAGAACTAAATAATACTTTATTACCTATAAAGGCCTTAGATCTAAGTATAATTAATAAGTTAATATCATAATAGTTACTAATAAAGCTATTCTTAATACTTAGAAATCATAATAGATAATTATAACAGTTTATAATAGAAACTACAGATTAATAAATCTTAGTAGGACTTTAGCCTAAAAGTTCTATAACTTTATAGTAATAAATTTTATAATAGTTTTAGAGGATTTAAGATATCTAGAGAAGGATTAGAAATAGCTATAGAATAGGTTTTATGAGATTATAAGATGAGGACGTCTTATTTTTACTAGCAGTATATTATAAGGGTAGCCCTACTATAGGGCACTATTTAGGCTACCTCACGCCCCTAATATACCTAGACTTACACTTAACTAATACATCTACACTCACACCTACTACGCAGGCCTCACAAGGACCCATCCCCCTAAGTAAGATCGTTAGATTAGTTGATTGTGTGATTAGTCACCTACCGGCTTGGAAAAGAGTGCTACCGGAAAGCGACACTAGACCCAGCCCGTCCTTCGCCCCGCCCGAAGCCACGCGCACAGACCCCCTCTCAGCCGCCGGTGCCATCTCACGTCGCGCAGCTTGTCACGATCCTGCCGCAACCAGCTGCCGTATGCCATTGGTGGAGCGTCACTCCTTCAGTCCTGGTGGCAGATGCAGGCAATAGGGGAAGCTGCGAACCAAATCCGGAGGGTCTTGTATCCTTGGATAGTTGTGATACATAGGCAGTTATCACACGTATGACTGAAGGTTGAGCATGATGCTAATGTAAAACGTACGACAAACATGAATCACAAATGACTCTACAAACGGCCCATGATAATATAGTATTACCATCCTTCATGGCACATCAATTTTTTTTTTTTAAAAAAAAAAAAACCCAAGAATTTAGTGTAATATAATATTATTGATCTCGACAATTCTGGTTGTCTATTTATCCATGTCCCATTTCATATTACAAGTCATATCCATCGTACATCATAACCGTCTAGTTGGAAATCTTAGGGTTGACCTTCTTGCTAGACACCAACAACTGTCAGCAAAATTCTTTCAAAGTGCTACGTAGGCCACTTACCCAGTCACCTTCTCATACATGTTGCGGCCAGCATCGGTGATCTTCTCATCCGTGCTGCGGGGCATGTCGTGGCCAGCCTTCTTGGTAGCGAAGTCGAAAGCTAGATAGGCTCCGTCAGTACGTGCTGTGAGCAGAATGGACGGCACTGCATGACATACCCTTGTCGACGGGGTCTTCCTTGGACTGACCGGCAGCCTGGGCCTGGTTGTTGCTGCTCTTGAAGGGGTTCATTTTGATGGTATATGTGATGTTTGAATCTTCTTGAGTATTTGGCAGTTGTATTGTAAATTGAATGTTTTGCGATATCTCGCTTGGCAATCGAAAGACGCAGGAAACCCTCCTTCTTATGTACAATTCCACACCCTCGAATCTGCACCCAAAAACCTGCATCAAAACGACCTTTCATCATCGCCCCTCCCCCGCCTTCCCCATCGAACCTTCGCAGTGTTCCCACCATGACGCTAATCGCCTCAATCCCGGGCCCCCTCCAGACGCAGATTCCCAGTTTCGGAGCGCCGCCAGACAATGCAGACCACTACGTCATCGCCAAACTACCGTCCGACCGTCGATCCTCCCAACCAACGCACTTGGTCGGAGGAAACAAGCTTGATCAGCCTCACAATGCATGCATGCCAGTCCCCTCCTCCCCAGCAAGCCGCCCGCCCCTGGAGAATGTCTGTCAGTGTTTCTATGAAAAGAAATGCCAAGACCAAGGGTCCTCACCCATCCACGGTCCCTCCTGCGATAATGGCAGCGTGGATGGATGCAGATAACAGGATCGCCGTGTGCCGTTGTGCGTCTGCTTGGCCCGGCAGTTCGGCATCCTCAGGTACGCCCCAGACCGGGGAGCGCCGCCGGGATGTGAGACTTATCTACGTCAGTTGGGCCGGGCGTAGGGCCCCAGCATGTGACGATGATGGAAGTTAGTCGTTGATCTAGACGGGAACGGTTCATGCGCTGACGGACTGTCAACCGGCGGTCTTTCGTCCGATACTACGGGATTGCGTCAGTCGTTGTCGTTTTGCCAGGTGGACGCCGGCAGGCCGCGCAGTCGCATTTCATCACGTAACACAACTTCAACATTATCTAGTACCTCGTCATACAGATGGGTAGCCCGTCTATCTTTGTCATAGCCTCGTCGAAATCAGAAAAAAGCGCCCGGTGCTCGTAAACACCGCCGTATATGCAGTCGAAATCAAACAAAACGCCGCCGCCATTAAGCCGTCACACATGAAGCGGTTGCAAGTGCTTCCACCGTCAAGCAGACTCACTCCATCCAAAGACCGTCAGGAACCGACCGGTCCAACGAAGGCACCCCGTCCTCATCACGATGCGGCAAAGACCTGGAACGCCATCACCATGATCCAGAGCAGAAACAACGCCCCGACCAGCGCAAACGAAAACACAGCCTGCCAGGCTTGACCTACACCAACAGTCAGCAATCACCCAGGCGAGACTTGCGCACGCTGGAAAACCTACATATACTCCTCTGCTGCAGCCACGCAAGGGTATCCAGGCTCTGGCCCGTCGGGTTGCGGTTGAACACGGCAAGGTTGCACGTACTCGAGACCGACCCGTCCGGCCCCCAGAGCTGGATGCTCACGACCACCAGGCCAACGAACCACAGCACGAACAGGATGAACGCGCCAATCATGACGATGGCGGGTAGCAGGCGGCGCTGGTAGACGAGCCAGAGCAGCAGGCCGATGAAGATGATGACGAGCGACGCGACGGTTATGAAGTAAGGGAAGTACCTGCGATCGTCAGCATTTCGCCCGCAACAGCGCATGGGGAGGTTCCCATCACGGACCATGGTATCGGCAGGAGCAGCTGGTTCTGGATCTCGATAAAAGACGCAAAGACGCCGATGATGAGGCACGACGCGACGAGCATGATGAGGATCCAGAGGTTCAGCTGGATACCGGGCCATTGGTAGCTGTGGACCCGGCCGACGACGCGGCGGTCGTAGTAGGAACTACTTGTGAGTGTTGATGCCGCCATTTTCGCGGTGGTCTATTGAATCGTACGCTTCTCGTGCGGTGGTCGTAGATCGGTCGTGGGGATCGCGTACGTGGGCAGTGATTCCGGGCCCTTGATCGTAGCTGTGGACGTCGCTTCGTCGCTTTGTTGCTTCGTCAATCGTGTGTGGTTCGTCAATCCGTCCAAGGCTTTGGAAAGGACCCGTCCTTTCCGCAATTTGCGCAGTGATAAAACGCGCAGACCAAGTAAAGGAAAAATTGGGAGGATGCGACCCCAGATGGGCGAGCCTCAAGACGAGGCAGAGCGACGCAATATGGAGTGATGCGATGCGGTCGCAGCGTGGTGCTCCTGGATGTGCCACGTCAAAAAGAAACAAAAAGAAACGGTCGACAGGAGCGCGGGCTGCTGCGACGGCGAGGCTCTATTCCCGTCTGGGCTGCACCGCTGGACGGCTGAACCCCCCGGTCGCCGTAGTGTTGCGTTGTGTCGGGCTGCGACGGCAATTCGTTCGATCAGGGTCGTTCGCGTCTCGCCTCACCTCGGCGAGTGGCACTCGTAGCTGCAGCCCAACGCAGGTGAGATGCGGCAGGCCTCGATGGTGATGGTCTCTTACTCGGCTGGGCTGGATTGCGGCGAATGTCTCGGGAAACGTCGCGTCGAGTCGCGTCTCTTCAAGCCTTGAACGGCGGGGCGAATTTAGGAAAATGGGTGATGAAGTGTAGGTAACTTGGCATTTACCAATTTGTTCCGTAGCGCTGTTGCAACCCCAAATAACTGCAAAATGATCACCGCAACAGACAATCCAGAAATTTCCTCTATCTGCACTCGAACATCATTTGATTCCCCCCTCAGGATGTTTTCTCCCCTATCGCACGGATGCTGCAAATTAGGTGGCTGGGCGACGGATCGCGTACAAAAATGACGATGGCTGGGCGCCCGTACGGATACAGCCAGTCGGCCGCCTGGAAGCGGCCCCCGACAGCGCACACCATCAGGGCCAATGCCATGTCCGGGCCCGAGACCCACTGCTCCCCGCAGCCGGGGCGCATCCGAGCCGCTGTCACCGCTGTCGCCGCTGCCTCGTGAGTGGGCTGGGCACATCTGACAACCCAAAAAGCTTGGTAAACACGGCCTGTCGGGCTCCCATACATCTGTGGAACTCGATTCCGCATGGAGAGACGGATGAATCGGCGTAAAATTCGCCTGTCGCGTGGTATTATTGATACTCTTCTGTACTTCCCCCTCTCTCTCTGTTCATCTAAGGTGTTTCTACCTTGTCATAGACCATGTCTGCAGCCGACTTTGGCTGCCATCTGTTCTTATTCAACAAGTCCTTCTCTATCTTTTTCTATCGCTCTCAAAACAACAACCCGACGCCTACAGCAACGACTCTCCCAAAGCGCATCTTACGAGCGAGCATCCTGCCCGAATCGTCTCGCTTGCACTGTCGGCCGCCAGCTGCGGGTTGACTTCCACTAGATCCACCGCCACGAGGCTGCCCGTCTCATGCACACACTCGCAGATGTAGTCGCCCTCGCGCAACGTGAGGCCGCCGCGGACGGGCGTGCCCGTGGACGGCGCCCACTGGGGATCCAGCGCGTCCACGTCGAACGACAGGTGGATCGGCGTGTCGGTGCCAATGTGCGCCAGCGCCATCTCCATGACGCGGCCGATGCCGTAGCTGTACCATGACCAGTCAGTCAATCATCACCCAGTGTGGCGTCACAGCCTGCTAGAGGAACCTACCGGTCAATGTCAAACATGCTAAACGCCTTGATGCCGTTTTCCCTCAGGATCCTCTTCTCGCCGGCGTCGACGTCTCTCAGGCCAATGTAGACGAGCTTCTTGATGTTGAGCATGTGCTCGTCGCCGAGCCAGCCAAAGTATTCGGGCTTCTCCTCCTTGGCGAGGCCCGTCACGAAGGCGACGGGCATGCCGTGGATGTTGCCGCTGTCGCTCGTCTCGGGGGTGTTGATGTCGGCGTGGGCGTCGACCCAGATGACGGCGATCTCGCGGCCGAGACGCTCGCGGGTGGCCTTGGCCGAGCCGGCAATGGTGCCGATGGCGATGCTGTGGTCGCCGCCGAGCGTCAGCGTCAGACGGCCGAGGCGCGACTGCTGGTAGACCTGGTCGGCGATGCGCTGGGTCACAGAGGAGACGGCCTTGGGGTTCTTCATATTGCGGAACGGCGGGTCCGACTCGGGGATGACGTCGGTGTACGAGTGTACCTCATCGTCGCCGTGGAGCTTGTAGCCGAGCTCGTCGCGCAGCTGGGTGATGAGGCCAGAGTCGATCAGGGCCTTGGGACCGGCGTCGACGCCGAGTTTTTGCTGGGGCGGGGTGGTCAGCTACCGGAGAAACGAGGAGCAGAGACGGGGAGCAAGCAGGCTTACCTGGCCACCCGAAAAGCCCACAGCGACGATGCCGAGATCCTCGGGATGGCTGAGGAACTTGGACTTGATCATGGAGGTGTGCATTATGACGGAGAAGGACAACGACTGGGTATCAATGGAAGAGGGACGTCTTGCAAAAGGGAAGAACAAGGAGAGTAGAAGAGGCCAAGGGGAGCAATGCGTTTTGGGCGTGGAAGAAAAGGGAAGAAGGACAAGAGAGAAGAAGGTGGCACTCGAGGCATCTAAATCCTTTTCCGTCGTGCCCTCGGCGCCGGCGGCAGCGCGACGACGGCAGCGACGACGGCCATGCCATGAGACCTAACTTGGGGCTTGACTCGGCTCGTGGCGGTTGCGGAGATTCAGAGGGCGCGCGCCATGCATCCATCCCGGACGCAGGTGGCAGAGAAACAGCTGTGCTGGAGACAGAGTGTGTGTGCCTCTTACACGCTTCAGTTCCAATCCAACGCATTCGGAGCGGCGGCGACGGCGGTGCGTGGTGGATGACACCAGCCCAGCGTTCCAGCAGTCCCTCAGGTGGGACCCTCGCCGAAACCCCACCGCGGGTAGACCTGCACTTAGGGGAACATCAGTGGAGCTGCCTCCGTGGCTAGCGGCGCCGACGGGCGACGACCCCGCTGGGGGCCGCTGGAGACCGCTGGGGCACCTGCACTTAGGGGTCTGGCGCGCCCGGAGCTGTGCCACTTAACGGCAGGTGAGCCCCGAGCGTGCGTGCGAGGCATTATTTAAATAGGCCCGGCGCCCCCCGTCCCACGTCCATCGCGAGTTGGTGATATCCCTAATGGCAGGGCGACCCGAAGTATTACACTCGATAACTTTGCGCACACCGTCCGCCAGGAA